ATGCAGGCCGTAGACCAAACCACTGTGGTGCACGAGTGGGAATTAATGACAAGCAACATTCAAATTTGACATCTAAATTTAGCTTTCAGTGAATTTTAGAGTATTATTTCATGTTTTCACAATGATGCATTCAGGAGGTCATGAGTAAAGTACCGGAAACGGGATCCAGACCCCTCTGGACCCTCCACCTGTGGATGATCTGATAGGATAATTTGGAAACAGCGGGTGATGCACCCTTGTTTCAGCCGTGCACTCAAGTGTTTAAAAAAGGTAGGAGAGAGGAAACGCGTGAAATTTCTAGATTGGAATATTTTTTTAATCTGTGTGGTGTCAGATCTGAAAACTCACAAAATGTAACCCAGTTTGTTTGCAAATTTGTTAAAAAACAACAAAAAAAGTCCTTTTCACCTTCTCCAGCTTCCAAGATTATGATGCTTGTTGCCAAGGCGACTGTTCTAACCCAGGTGGCGGGCCCTTCCTGTGAGATGCGCCCTGCGATTGGCCTATCGACAGATAGGCTACAGATTAAGCATTTTGATTGGCTCGCAGGCTGGTTGGCAGCGGCGGGAGCCCCAGCAGACAGATTCTGGAGAGAGCATTGATTCAATCGGCTGGCAGACAGCAGACACACACACTCACACACATATAGAGGTGTATATATATATACAAACGCTGGCGAGCTGGAGGTGCAAGGGGAAATTTGGCCCAGTGGGGGTCACCTCTGTGGGAGCGAGTGTATGTGTGTGTAATATCATGCTCTCCAGGAGAGGCGTTGCTGGCAGTAATAGAAGCACTCCCAGGAGCACACCACGCTGGGTAATATCACACTCCCCAGGGAACTCGTCATACACACATTCACACACACACAAACACACACAAACACAGCAGAACAAGGCACATATGGCCTGTGTTCAACACGACTGACATACTAATGCAAAGATCCAGACGGGGGGACACAAATCAACAGTGCACACACATCCTATTAGCTTCTTGCATTCTTACAAGGTCGGGAGCTGCAGCAGCCGGTAGCACAGTTTTTGACTCTGTGGACATCTAAGGATGAAGAGCCACACAGAGGTTCTGCACGGTCACCGCTCGGTGGAGACGATGGAGCCTGAAGGATAAAGTTGGATATCAGACGTGATTGTGAAGTTTTGAACCTGTGCTGCAAGACATCAGATATTGGTGTTTTTTGGTTAGTGTGTATGTGACCTGCTGCTCTGATGTTTAACCGGAGCACAGCTGTAGGAAAGCAGGTCATACAGCATCGCAGGAAATTTAGTTCATCGCTCCCTCGCCTTTGAGTCCTGTTTTTCAAATAAATGTTTTCATTATGTGTAAAAATACATACGTTTCACGAACCTGAGAGGAAAAGCTTTCTCGTCTAATTTCTTCTGACAAAGGAGGGAAAAACACTGAAACTTAAGAGAGCTCTGTACACTTTCCCAGTTAAGTGCAGAGGCATTAGCCACTATTTGCAGCTGCTTCTTTCATGTGTTATCTGCAGATTTGATCGGCTGCTACAACCAAATATCCAACTCCAGCCGACATCCTGTCATTTCCTCCTGATTTAAATATTCACATATTAGTAAAATCTTCTTTGATTTGAATATATTAATTAGAAGTTTTATCAATACCCTAAACTGGGATGATTTGCATAGTGGTTTGTGTACCACTACAGATAAGAGGTTGACCCTCTAATGTAGCAATATGGTGATTATTCAATCCTTAATTAATATTCGCCTGCATAACTGTGATATTTCCCTCTTTCCTGGGCTAGAATTAGGAGACAGTTGACCCTGATATTTTACGCATGCATCCCTCTACCCCATTTTTAAGTCATTTGAATCTTTTTCCTGCAGCCAGATGTGTTTGTCTATCATTAAAAACACCAAACCAGACTTCTAAATAAAAGCAGGGCACTACTTTTTATGTTGGTTGCTTGCAGATATCTGTATCAGCCTATATGTTGTCCAGCATGTAACTTTTTCTTACCAGAACAAACGCTTACCGGACAGTTTATCAGTTGTACCTGTTGAACTGACTGTCAACTCAATTATCCAATCAGTCCATCACTCGGCAGCTACTCGGTGCATTTAGGTACGCAGACATGGTCAAGGAAACCTGCTGAAATTCAAACCATGCATGAGAATAAGGAAGAAATGTAATTTAGGCTGATCTGAATATTTCAGAAACTGCTGATTTACTGATCTTCCATCTCTAGTTTTTCAGAGAATGTTCTGAAAAAGAGAAAATCTCCAATGAGTGGTTTGTTCTTGCCAGAGGTCAGAGAAGAATGGCTAGACTGCTTTGAGCTGATAGGAAGGAAACAGCAACTCAAATAAGCACTTGTTACCTCCAAGGTGTGCCGACGAGCATCTCTGAATGCTCAGCATGACGAACCTAGAAGGTGTTGGGCTACAGCAGCAGAAGACCACACCAGGCTCAACAAAACTGGACAATAGAGGACCAGAAAAATGTTGCCTGGTTTGTTAACTCGATTTCTGATGCAGAAATATGAAATCTGATGTGGGGTCATAATTTGGCAGACACAATACAAAAACATGGCTCCATCCTGCCTCGTATCAATGATCCAGGCTATTGGTGGTGGTGAAATGGTACATTTCAATTCAGTTTTATCTATATAGTGCCACATCACAGCAGCAGTCGTCTCAAGGTGCTTTATAACAGCGGTCTCCAACCCCCGGGCCGATATCGGTCCGTGAATCGTTTGGTACCGGGCCGCGAGAGTTGAGGCTCAGGTGTGAAATGTATGGTTTTCAGCGTTATTTTGTTATCGTTTTTATCGTTTACTCGGTTTTCCTGGGTCTTTTCACGTGTGTTATGAATAAAACTTCTTTTTACTAGTTTTATTTTGTTGTATTTATCCGCGACACCTTAAAGGCCGGTCCATGAAAATATTGTCGGGCATAAACCGGCCTGTGGCGCAAAAAAGGTTGGGGACCGCTGCTTTATAATATAAGGTAAAGATCCTATAATAATACGAATGAATTGTTTTAAAATGATGTGGAAGATACACATGAGTGTCCCCATCTTCTGATGCCTGCTTCCAGGAGGATGATGCACATGTCACAAAGCTCAAATCAGGCAGTTCTGAGGACAAAAAGGGGTCCAACCCAGTAGCAGCAAGGTGTGGCCATTAAAAAGGGGCGGGAAAAAGAAACTGCATCATCTCATAGTTTGTCCAGCAGAGCGGCTCCAACGCTTGTTTCTGATACGTTATCCTCTTAGAGACATTTCCTCAAAATGCCATCACTAACAGGGAAAACTATTTGGCAGTAGTGGCTTAAACCAGTTTGATGTCTGGTGCTTGTTTCTCCAGGTGTTTACTGATTGGTTCCCCCCACTTCTAAAATAAAGCCTGCATCCTTGATTTCCTTTCATATCGACTGAAAATCAGAAGCCCGGAGTCCCGTCGTCTTCCCACCCATAGCCTGTACCTTTTTTTAATATCACAGAGCACTATAAACTGAGGACGACACCTTAAATTTTTGTTTTGTGCGTTCCTCCCCAATCTCTGCCTCTGTCTCCACCCCCACCCACCCAGTTTTTCCAAATTCAGATGACAAGGCAGATGAAAGCATGCATGAGAGACAGAGACAGTCTATTTTCATGCCACCCTTCTCTATAATCTATAGGCTGGCTTCACTCAGGTTGGGGGGCCGACAACTTCATTAGGTGAGGGGGGGGGAGCCGCTTTGATCTAAAAATACGCACCATCTGGAATGGAGAAGGTTAAAGAGTTTGCCTACGTCCTCATCAGAAAGAAGCTTCGTGATTTCTTTTTCCATAAAGACGGACAGGAAAATGCGGAGCGAGGTGGTTTTGAGGATGTTTTACTTCTTCTTCCTTGGGAATATGGGAATGTTTGCATGGTTGATGTTTTTTGCGCAGGTGTTTAATCCAGGAGATGCACAGAATGTTGCTTTTCTCCGTGGGAATGCCGGATGGCTGTGTGTGCACGTGGTTTGGTAAATAGGAATCCTGTGAAAGGCTGAAGTTGAGCTTTGAGCTGCGGTCATTGTTCTTCAATAACAACTTTCTCCTCTTCGTTTTTTCTTGCTGTCTTGCAGAGCATAGGCAAAGGCTCTTTGTGGTCCATAGATCCAGAGTACAGGCACAACCTGATCCAGGCTCTGAAGAAGACGCCGTACCATCCCTACTCGCCCAGCCTGACCACCCCCTCCACCTCCCCACCCACCCTACCGCAGACATTTCACCACAGGTAAGACGGACCCTCTTATCCACTGACTGAGTGAATCTCGGCCGGTTAATTGATAAACCCGTCGACAGGGAGGGGATGCTGCCAGACTCTCGTCACGCTTGCCTCTCTGAAGAGACTTTAGAGAAATGAACATAGTAACACGTTCAAGAGAATTTGTGGCAGCCACCTGTTCAAAGGTATCATGTACTTGTCGTGTTGAATTGTCTCTTAGGTATGAACGAAATTCAGCGGTGTTCCAGAAATGTCATCCTGAGTCCCGTACATGCTTAAAGTGTTTAACTCTGCTTTTTTCAGCATCTCTCTTAATTCTGTCTTTATTTCTGTTCCAGTCTTTGCTGCTGTGATATTAATTACGTTCCTTTACTTAAAGTAGTGAAGCACAGTATATTTAATATACCAAACAAAACAGCTTAAATGATAAGTCAAATGCTCTTAATATAACGGGATAATAGCAGAACTTATTTTAGGTTTAATGTGCCTAATGTTGGAGCAACACTGATATCGGCTGATGTTCATATTTGAGCTAAAATATCGAACCGATTTTATGTGCTACACGGCGCTCAAAAATCTGTAAAACAAATGTTTTTTTAGTATGACTTTGCTAAGCTACAAAGCCGCACCCCTTGATGGATTATCGGAGCATTAAGGCTACTGTAGTCAGGAGCCTCGCGGAGTAATCTGGGTCCTAAACTCCGTCTTCTTCAGGTCCCAAAGTCAAACGAACACTGAGAGTTAAAAACTGTCTAAATTCTTTCACCTTTAATAAAATCATCAGCGTTGCTGCTTTACCAGGTGTAAAAATTAAGTTTAACATCCAGGCATCCATGAAAACTACATTTATTACATTTAACGGAGTTAGAAGTTAGCAGGAAGCTAGCGGAAGTTAGCTCGCTAGTTTCGCTAGTTAACTAAGCATGATATAGCATGTTCTGACTGAGAGATTTCTGAAA